AAAATTAGTGCTAACCCTGTGTTACTGATTATCTATTGAAGATATCAAATACATAGAAAGGCGTAAATATGAAGGCGCAAATCAATTGGAAACATTCAAGTATATTTTCGTATTATTCTATTTTTCTTTAAAACAGTATGGAAATTTGAAAAAGTATAAACGGGGTTGAACATTTTAGAACAAGCAAAAAATGTTACGAGGAATGCGTTTTTCTCAAAAAGTTAATAATAAAAAAGTTTTTCTTCTTGTATAAAGACAATTCGGGGACATACTGTATAAGGAAATAATGTTAATGCCGAGGGTAATGCAGAAATTTTGCTTAAAATAACGTACCTTATGTAACTAAATTCTGAATATTCTGGTAGTCATTTACGTTCAGTAAAAACTTTGTTTTCTAATCTATAGCTGTGTCTATAGTTATATTTCGGAAAATCATTAAAAATATATCGAGCAAGGAGAAAACCTTCTATTCAAGGTCGACTGGCTTAAAATTTTTGACTTCTTGAATCGTTTGATGAAGGTTGACAGGTTTAAATGTTATAAACTTTCTCCTGTTTTATTAATATTATATTGACTTATTTATCCTACACCCGGCATTTCATCAGCCGACCATTTTTAATAAAATAAAAATAGTTTAGGTACCTAGGTCGACTCAGCCTTAAATGAGTAGGTACTTGGGATTCACAATCCTAAGGTAATAATAGACGGTTGAAGTGTAGTGCTTTAGCCACATTACCTTCCTTGTATACCGAACGGTTCTAGCATGGCAAGCAGGGTTGTTAAGTAGTTTATGAAGCAAAAAACTAAGCCATTTTTCTACGCGTAGTGTTTTGTATTAACTACGTTTTAAAATTTTAAAAACTACCTTCAAAACTACACAAAAACTACGGTAAAAACTACCTACAAAAATATGTATAGTAAAACATAAACAATTTAGACTTTAAACAAAAATCAAGCCAAATTCTTATTATGGAAGTATGAAGTTATATTTGTATAAGTTAAACAACATCAGAAAAAAAGACAATTTTTTTTCAACAAAAGTGTATTTTCTACGAAATACAAAGTAACATTGAACACAAAATAAACTATAAATTCTTATGGAGAAATTCTCCATAGACATTCTCCAGGAGAATATATGATTTTTTGCATCTAAAGGCACAACTTCATAATTCCCCTCTTCCCAGAAGGTATGGAGCAAGTATGGAGACGTCGACGTCTTCCAAGCATTTTTAACGACTAAGTATCAAAAATATCACATAATAAGGAACAAATTCACAAAATATAGATTTTTTATTTCTTTAAATTGATCAACAAATAAAGTTTTTAGGTTATGTTTTCACTGTTATTTACAAAAACTACATTAGTTACATAAACTACACATTTACTACTCGACATTTAAAAAACTACTTGTGACATGTAGTAAATGTAGTTTATTAATTACTACGTGTAGTTTAACAACTCTGATGGCAAGCTGTATCTACCTTGCTACTCCCAAGGTGTTAAACGCTATATACGGGAAACATGTTCAATTTACTAGCTGTTAGTTTCATTTTATATACCTATACGCACATAGTGCACACATTGTTTTTATTCTAACTGATCCAGTAATTTCAACAGATGACATAAAAAGCTAGGGATTTTTACATAAACGAGGTGCTCTTCGTTTAGTTGATACTGATCTGTGAGAATGTAAAATTTAAGATTAAGTCTTACATTTTAAACGAAATCTACTTGGTACTTTTTATTTATTTTGGCAGCTCAGTGAAACATTTGCAAAAGATCCACTTTTAAGACGTCAATAGTCCTATACACAAGAAGATTTGGCCTGAGGATTTGGCTTGCGGACTTGGAAGTTTGGAAGTTTGTGACAGGCTAAGCCTTGGGCGGACCAAGCCTGTCACATATCAAATCCGCAGACTTGATCTGTCAGATTAGATTCGTCTAACAAAACGAATCCGCCGACTTTATCCTTTTTTCCGTTTTCCGAAAGTCCGCCACTTTATCCTTCTTTCTTTCTCGCTCTTTCTTCCTAAAGGGCAGTTTTTATTCCAATATTTTGTCCCAAACGAAAATATTTAATCGGGCAAAGATTTAATCGGCAGACTAAAAACGGTCACATGTCACATGCAACGATATCTGAGAGATTTGAACAGTACAAGGTTTGGTTGAAATCATACGGTATCTCCGTTATTAGTGAAGATAGAAGGGTGCACCAACCTATCCCACTTTTTTGTTAAACGGAAGATGCTGTCAACAAAATGGCCTCTTCGTTTCAGGGTCAGTTTTTCGGGTTCAGGCCTCTTCGTTTCTGAGCTACAGGGTCTTTTTGAAAATTTTGCAATTTGGGACACCAGCCATATCTCGGTTATTGTGAAAGGTCTCGAGAAGGTGAAAACTATTTATTGTAGAACTTTTTTCGTAGAATACAGTGGCGTAGTATGTTATTCTACGAAAATAATATTTTTGAAGATATAAGTTATGTTTTCTTAAATGGTATATATATAAATTATATGACCACGTATATTTATAAATTATATGACCATAAGCTTCCCAAAAGTATTTATCGTACCGGAACTTTTAGATATTCCTTTAGATAATTTACGCGAAATATACTGTCATCCAGATGGAGCTCGTCTCACAACTTTGAAAAAAATAGAATTTTGTTAAATGACTATTTCCCAAATCAATGAATTGGGACCAATGGACCCATACGATAGCCTCCCTGTTTCCCGGATTTGTCCGCTCACAATTTCCATATTTAGGGATTTTTGAAACATGAAATATATCGTGGCAACTACAACAATGTCGAAGACCTGGAAAATGTTATCAGGCAAGCTTTTAGATATCTGCAAACCCATCCCGAAATAATAAATTCGGTTGTATAAAAAAATAAAAACATATATTCACAGATTCAGTGGTAATACTCTCTCTTTAAAAGTAAAATATTCCGGTCCCAAATAAAATTTTAATATGTGTATGACTATTTTAATAAATACCATTTTGATTTTTTTGTAATAAATAAATATATAGTGTTATATATTTTTGAGAAGCTCATCATCAACTCACATCAAAACATCAGCTCACCGTCAAAAGACGGATCATACTATAGTACAGTCTATAGTACAGTTCCCGCCAAATCTGTAGTCTGTGCAGTTAAAAATATTCAGCATGTTGAAAGATGGCAGGTCTCATCTCTTCGATGAGATCTTTATCGAAGCAGCCATTACACTTTTAGATTTCGACTGAATCAAACTACTGTACAGGGTGGGTCAAATTCGACGCTTTTAAATGGAAACACCCTTTTCTATAGGAGATAGACGAAAACTAGTATCGGTGTCTGGAGCTCAATTTTCATCAAAAACATGATGGTGAAAACCGCACATCAATATCTGCTACCGTTTCGGAGTTACGGGGTGTTTTTCAAAAATGTGCATTTTTAACAAATAGCTGTAACTTCTTTGCTATGGAAAATTTTGTATTTCTATGAAAACATTTCCAAAGCACCTTTTTACGTAGAACTTAATGGCTTAAGTATATATCTTTTTAAATTAATAATTTAAGAGTTATCAACAAAATATTGATTTTTTATTTGGTACACCCTTTATATTTTTAATTAACTGAAAAGAATTTAAAATTACCTTTCCAAAAATATAGCACACTTGATATTTTGTTATAATCCCCTTCGAAATACAGAATTTTTAAAAGTTCGCCACTTTTAACTAGTAGGCTTTGGACCCCTTATTGATGATATGCCCCTAATGGAACTCGAAAACATACTTTTCCAGCAAGACGACGCACCGCCTCTGAACGCTGAAGTTGTCAGTAAATTTTTGCAGCCAATTTGAAGAATAATTGGATAGCTAACCAAGATCCCAGCCGTTGGCCGTCGAGGCCGCCTGACTTAGTACCCATGGATCTAATCCTATGGATATATTTGCGGAAGAATAAAGGTTCCTTATTCTTCCGTATAATCTAGACAAGAATTAAAAATACTTAGCAGTTATGAGAAGGTATCTTTCGCCTCCAATGAGTTAATGAATTCCGCGAGAAATGTTTAAAAACTGCCCCGTCTGTCCATAACAGAAGACGGTCGATATGTCGAACACCGAACACCTGTAACAAACTCTCATGTCTTGGTTTGCTATTTGTTTTTATTATTATTAGACATAGTTTAAATGTGTTGATGTTGGTTAAATATATTTTAAATTGTTATAAAATTCTGCATCTCTCATAGCAAATATTATTTTCGTTTTAATTGATGCTTAATGCTCACAGCTAGAATTTTTTTGCATTACAGCCGGTGCCGTTCAAAGCCTACTTATTTAAAGCGGGCGAATTTTTATATACTCTATATCTCGAAGAGGAATCGAGCAAAATAGCAAGTGTGTTATATTTTTGGAAAGATAATTTTAAATTATTTTCAATAAATTAAAAATATACAGGGTGTCCCATATAAAAAATCAAATTTTCTGTTGATAATTCTTAAATTATTAATTTTAAAAAAATTATACTAAAACCATTAAATTCTACGTGAAAAGGTGCTGTGGAAATGTTTTCATAAAAATACAAAATTTTCCATAGCAAAAAAGTTACAGCGATTTGTTAAAAATGCATATTTTTGAAAAACTCCCCGTAACTCCGAAACGGTAACAAATATCGATATGCGGTTTTCACCATCATGTTCTGACAAAAATTTAGCTCCAGACACCGATATTAGTTTTTGTCTATCTCATATAGAAAAGGGTGTTTCCATTTAAAAGCGTCGAATTTGACCCACCCTGTACTTTTTAAGTTCGTAGACGAAAATACGAGAGTTTTAGTACATGACAGGCCAACTCCACAGGCCGAATCTTCTGATGTGTGGGGTGCTATTGATGTATCGGATGATAAACTGTATATTGTATCAGTTACAGAATATATTCGATAAGAACCAATGAATTTGTTGTCTGTGCAATGATAATGTCATTATCACCTGTGTACCTTTGCGCGTGTGACACTAATGTTGTGTGACAAGACACTTCACTCAAAAAGTTCGAAAAATTTATCTTAAAAAACTGAAAAAACAGCTTTACATTTAAAATGTTGTTGGGAAAAACTTACGCGAGACTGTTAAAAAATCACTTTCTTTTGATGCAATCGGTTCAAACAGCATTACTAATGAGCACTAGTGATATTTTGGCACAATTTGCAGTTGAGAAGAAAACTCTGCGTCAGTACGAACCGAGAAGAACGGCGGAATTCGCTTTCTTAGGTGCTGCTTTTGTGGTAAAATCGTTTTCTTCAGTATACAGTCCCTCTTTCAGACATTTTTTTAGGGTCCAGCACTTTCGATTTGGTATAAGGTTCTACAAAGAAAGTTTGGAAGCGATAAAACCTTACAAACCGGAATCAAGAAAATGAGTTGCGATCAACTTCTATTTGCGCCTGTATTTTTGCTTGTATTCGTGAGCAGTGTTGAAGTCTTGCATGGAAACAATATGGAGGGGATCAAAGACAGTTTAAGGAAAAAGTATAAAGATATCGTGATTACGAATTGGAAAATATGGCCGGCGGTGCAGATGATCAATTTTTCTGTGATGCCTTTAAAATACCAGGTGTTGTTTGCACAATTTGTAGCCGTGTTTTGGAACGTGTATCTGAGCTGGAAAACACAAAATAAGTGAACAGACATTACTTACTGAATCTAGATAATTATGTTGTTTAGTTGAAGTTATAAGTTGCAATGTATATTAAGATTACAACTTATAACTTATACACTATATACTATATATTATAATGTAGGTACACTTATTAGAATAGCGATTTTTATTGCTTTCAAATTTTAAAAAAAGTAAAGTAATTTAAGTTAACGCGTCTTATTTTTCCTGCTAAGGCTAATCTGGACGCTGCGCTGTATACTTTATACGTGGGTTTGGAATAGCGCAGTGATTTCTAAATTAACTACTATTACTCACGAGATATTCATTTATTATACAGCAGGTATCCAAAAACGACGGAAACAATAATATACTTTTCAAATCATCTTCTTGTTGCTTTAATTCTGGGGTTGAAATGCCATTCTAAAAAATATTTGCACTTATTTAAGACTCTATATTGTTTATGTAATAAAAAAAAAGTTTGTTTCGAACATAACCCTCGTGTAAAACTCCGTGTAGGGTCGTGTTGATTTCTGTAATTCAAATATTGTTTTGTTTTTTTATAAGTTTAAAGTATAGTAATAAGTTTGGAGTAATATTAAAAGCAATAAGTGGGTTGAGCATTTTTTTGTTAATTTATGTCAACTTTTAAGGATTTTAGATTTAATTTGATTAATTACCATTAAGATCGAATCTATCGAGGTCTGTTGAAGGAAAATCAAAAGGTTTTTGTGTGGTAGGAAGAGCAATGGTAATATTTAATGACTTGTTTATACATAAACATATGTACCGTTGTGTAATAAAAAACAGACATGATTATTGTTCGATGAGGAGAAACGTGGGGTCACATCTTTAGGAATATGCATGAATTTAGCATAGCGCATGAATAAAGCAGTATTGTTCGGTATGTTGTTTAAATAAATGATAGATTTGCTGAATATTTTGTAGCTAGTAGGGATGTCCATTAGCGTAACTAGCAATACATCTTGAGGGGGGGGGCTAGGGATTTTGTTTTATAAAAAATGAAGAATAATATCATTAAAAATAAATTAAATACATTTTTTGAATAAAACGTTTACACTCGCGTTTGCATGAATTCCTCTATCAATAAATTTTATTGACTTTTTTGCAAATTTTGCAAAGAAATAAAAACTGACACGTATTTTTTGAACACAGAAAAATAATATTAACTAAATAAAAATGGAAAAAATCATTTTTACTACATCACAAGCAAATAAAAATTAATATTTAGCCAAGAGTCATCGTTCAGTCAAAATTCAAGATTTCACTGGGGGTGCCAGCTAGGGAATGCAATCTCGCAAATGCGGGATCGCTCTGTGATTCCGCGGGCTCAAATTTGCGGGATTTACCGTGCGGGATCTGCGGGATCGACACCAGGGGACTCCCCTTACGGCTTGGCCATTAAAAATAAGTGAAACAAGCAGGTTAGTTATTAGATTTCTTTCTGGCGTGCGTAAGTGAAGAAAAGCGTTTAACTAGTACTTGTGGACAATTTCGTCAAATAAACTGCCGGACATAATTATCGGGACAAGCAAAATTTTAGGGTAAATTTAAAGTTGTATATCTCTTGAACTAAAAAAGATTTTGGGATGCGGTTTGGACCAGGTTTTAGATGCATCTATTGTGATTAAGATACCATGTGATTTTCGAAAATATATTTAGCGAATTCTCGTATACAGGTGGTTTTATAAGAGTGTGAAAATTTGGTCAAGATTCTTTTTTACCGTAAATTTATTTACAGTTTTTAAAAAATCGAAATTTTTACCAAGTACGACTAATCTGTATTGAAATTAAAAAAAAAACAATTTGATCGGTTTTTTATTTTTTTTTGTTTTAAGGAAAATACGACGTTTTTTCGAAAAATATGCATTTTTAGTCATACGATGGTCCTAAATGGTACAAAAAGCTTTGTACATTCTGCATATCCCAAAAAATTATTGATATAGAGTGTATCTAAAAGCAAATAACTAACACAAATTGAAAAAAAAAACCTTCAACATCAGAATAATATTTTTATTTATAAAATAAGTAGATAAATTATAATAAAATTTAAGTTTATTTAATATTAAATATCTTTTTTGAACACCCTGTATACATCGGTCCAAATTTCTGTTCAGCTAGTTTAAGATACACGCTATATCAGTATATTGTGAGCCTATGCAAATTGTGCAATTGGCCTTTTGTACCATTTAGGACTATAAATGCATATTTTTCGAAAAATCTCGTATACAAAATACTCGTACAAAAAATTTAAAAAAAACACCAAATTGTTTTTTCTAATTTCAATACAGATTAGTCGTACATAGTTAAAATTTCGATTTTTCAAAAATTGTAAATTTCGGTAGAAAAAATTCTTGACCAAATTTGTACACTATTATAAAACACTCTGTATACGAGAATTCGCTAAATATATTTTCGAAAACCACATAGCATCTTAATCACGTCTAAAACCTGGTCCCAACCGCATCCCAAAATCGGAGAGAGAAAAGAAGAGCATTTATTGTTTACAATCCCGCAATTTTGCGGATTCGCGTGATTGATTGCTTTATTCACGCGGGTTTGCAGGATTCAGATTTTGGTGCGGGATTGCATTCCCTAGTGCCAGCAGTACCTGGAAGTCTCGGCGCCCCGTGCCCACCTGTTGTTACTTACGTCAATGGTATTAGCGTAACTAGCAATTCATCCTGGGGGGGTCTGGGGCTGACCCCAGGGGGCCTAGGTCTTTTGTTTTTTAAAAAATGAAGAATAATTTAAAAAACACTTTTTTGAATAAAACGTTTTCATGAATAATTTATGAATAAATTTTATAGACTTGGTTATCAAACCGTGTTCCCGTAGATTACTTAAATACCTACAAATTTTCTAAAAAAATAAAAATTAACACATTTTTTGAACACAACAAAATAATATTAACTAAACAAAACTAGAAAACGGAATTTTTACTACATCACAAGCAAATAAAAATTAATATGTAGCCAAGAGTCATAATTCAAGATTTCTCTGAGTGGTGCCCAGCGGTACCTGGGGGAGTGGGCGGCACCCCTGTAGTTACGCCAATGGCCAATGGGGATGTTAATAGGGGACTGAATCATATAACATACCGATTTGGTCATTTTAGAAGTGTAGCCTGGATTTTAACGTGTAAAGCTTGATTTTCATGCATCCGTTGTCTGACGATACGATGATACGATATTAATTTTATTGGTTGAATTTAAAGACTTCCATTGGTTAGAAACGGTTAATCAATCTTTAAATTCAACCAATAAAATTAATATCGTATCATCGTATGGTCGGACAACGGATGCATAAAAATCAAGCTTAAGACAGAGAATAATATACCGGTTGACAGACAGAGAGACAAAATCAAAAACGGCATACAATGTTGCCGGTTTTTACGTTTGTGTAGAAAAAAAATTAACTATTTTAAAAACTTTCATGTATACTACTAAAATGAATACATCTAAGCTAAATATAATCTTTTACATCTGTAGTAAAATTAGTAACTAATTGTGGAAAATAAGGTTCCAACCAACGTATGTATTTCGTATGTTGTAACATATCAAATATAAAGGCAATGAAAGTCTAAAACATATTTTTTCCTATTTTATTAGGTGTGTCATATTTGCCAACAACTTTTATGGACTTTACAGTTTTTAAATACTGTTACAAATATGGTGTCAAGACGTAGGTGAAAATTATGAAAATATTTCGGGGAAGATTCACTTAGAATCGTCACAGTTTTTAAAAGAAAGTGAAGGTGTTAATGTAATGTAAACACTGAGAAAGCTAGAAGGTGGTAAATGTCTGTGTATATTAATTCATGGAGGTTGAAACCACAAAAAAACGGAAAATTAATGATAAGACCAAAAATGGAGAATAAAGATGATAAAAGTGAATGAAATGAGAAGTAGATATTTTAATAATAAAGGGAGAATATGGTCAAATATATAAAATTAAATATAAATATAAGTCTTCTTTTATAAGACCATCTTTAAAACACTTAATAACATATAGTCGACGTAGAAACTTATTTTGTCCCATTTCTGTTATTTCGATAAACACATTTGCTATTTCATTAGCATTTATATTTTCGGACTGGTCTGTATGGATCTTAATCACGCCTACTTCTTTGACCCACTGTCAACTTCATCAGGTCATCAGGTAAGACTGGTTTTCTCTGCATACAATGTTACTGGAGATAACAATTATTATTTGTAGAAATTTCTACATTTTTACAGCAAATCTTTATTTTTTGTAACTTAAAAATATACGTTTTTTTTATTTTATAGAAAATTACAGATATTTTATAAAATTTCAATAGACATAATTTATCGTTCAGAACCTTATTAGAGAAGAAATTAGTAGCTTTTTAATACTTTTGGGTTTACAATCATTCAAACAAAGTCTAAAAAATACAATTACAATTAATAGAATATTCTAGCAAGAACTTGCAGCTTGCGGTGCTTAGTTGTATCCATAAAGAAGGCCTAATAATTTATTAGCTTATAAAACAATAACTTTTTTCTTTCACACCACACTTCCTCTTGACGGATGATAATCAAAGAACAAAATGGGATTACTCGCAAATTTTGAAGTATAATTAGCGGCAAAAGTTAAAGTTTGTTGAATATTTTTACTAATTGAAAATTATTACCACTAATTTTGTTATTCTGAATGCTTACTAATTGCTATTGAAATTAAAGGAACACACTTCTTCGCTAATTGAAACCACTAATTTATTCCACTATCCACTAATTTCGAAGTTCTGAATGAAGCTTTAAAAATAATTCCGCAAAATGAATGGAACTTAAAATTCAAAATCTCTTTGTAAATAAATCTGTAAAAGAACTATTCTGAGGCTTTAATTATGAATACCCTTTTTTGTAAAGCATTAGAGTGTACAAGAAAGAGCTTTTAGTATCAAGGGTATGGTTAAAAAAATTAAATTGTGCATGAAGCATGCTGCGTATGATGCCGGATCAGTAAAAAAATATCCTCATCTGTTTTGAATGAGATCAACGTTCTAGTTAATCTATCTTTCTAGTTAGTTCTATCTACTAGGTTAAGTTATATAACGACAAAACAAAACATTACTTCACCACAATCCACCAAAACACTTTATTTTTGCACTGGATGCG